CTTAGGCCTCCTCCATCTCCCCCACCCCTCCACAGCCCCATCCCTTTCCCCATGTGGCCCTGTTCCATCATCCCCACATGCCACGTACAGTGGACCTGCAGCTTCTGTGTGGTTGACCTCTCAGAGTTCTGCAGGGACTCGTGGTCCACAGTGCACGTCACTTCAGCTTCGTTGTCCTCCTTGGTGACACGGAACTCCACCCGACTGCTCACGGTGAAGGTCTTTCCATTGGGGTCCTCCACCACCTCGGTGCCCTCATCTGTGGGGACAGGACCATTAGAGCTGATGAACACAGTACCCCAGCAGAGGCATGAGGCTGATGTGTGTTAAACAGGGGACACCCTGTCGCTTTGCAATAGCGCAGGTTGCCAATGTAGTCCAGTGCCAGGCACATCTGCAAGCCCTGGTGCCCCACCTGCCTCCATGGTGTTCCCCAGACAAGACAGTCCCTCAGGGCAGAGCCCCACTGCTTGGACACCCACCCTTCAGCTCCTTGTTGCCCTTCTTCCACCGGAGCTGGGCTGCAGGCTTGCTGCCAGAGGACCGACAGGTCAGCCGGGCTATCTTCTCCTCATCAATGGGCTGCTCATGGCCAAAGATTTGGGGTTTCTGGGGGATTCCTGGCAGAGAAGACAAGAAATACAACAGCCTGTTAGCTGTGTGTGTGCTGCCACCCAGAGATGGACGCACATGCAGAGACGTATCCATAAGCACGGCAAGGATGAGTTAACAGATAGGAATACAGGAGCAGCAGAGATGAACAGCCGTATGGACAGCATCTTGCAGACAGGGCAGTAGCAGGTAGGTGACAGGGAGCAGGTGGAGGGGTTGCCACCAGTGTCTTACCCAGCACAGTGACCAGGGCCTTTGCAGTCCGCACAGGCATGGTGAAGATGGAGCAGGTGTATTCACCCTCATCTGACAGCACCACATCACTGATGCTGATGGTCAGCTCATTGGGGGTAGACCTCTCCAGCTGGATCCTGTTATCTCGCAGGGCTGGTAGAAAAAGGACAACAGGGTGAGTGACAGGCTCAGTACCACCACACCCCTCCACTAGCTCGTATTTTGCCCAGTGGCATCACTGTAGGTGGGGAGCAGAAGGGAACATCATCTTCTGGGGCACCACCAGCCTTGGTCCACTTTCCCTCTGCCTCACCATTGCTCTGGTCCTGGAGCTGGCTCCTCTCCCCAGGGCAGCACTCTCCCATCCCCAGTTCCCGCACACGTACCTCGTTTCTCCCCGAAGTAGAGGGTCTGCTGGGCAGGGTTGGACCACTGCAACGAGGAGTCATCAGGATCCTCCACCTGGCACTTGAGCACCACTGTACCACCAGCCACCACAGTCTCATCTGATGTCGTGGGCTGGCTCTCTGGACAGAGACAGGAGAGGTTAGCAGGGGCCCTGGGCATTGCCGCCCCCCAGGTGTGCACAAGCATCACTGAGCAACCAACAGATGGGAGGGAGGAACACAGCACTGTCCCCAAAACCCCTGGGACACATAGGGCTCTAGGTGCTGGGCTGAATACAGCTTGCTTGGGACAAACATTTTCTTCCAGCTGACCCCAAGCCCTGGATGGCTGGGCTATACAAACTGGGGTAGGGGACAGGGTCACCCTGGCTTAGCTGCTCTGGGTGGCAGCATGGGGAAGAGGAGCAGGTATTGCCAGAGCTCTGGCTGGACCCAGGGAGACTCTCAGTGCAAGCATATGTCAGTGTGCACATGCATATATGTGGAAGCACCCTTACAAGCCCTTTGAGCATGGATGTGTGTGCACATCTACACATGCTTGTGGGTGCAGGTCCCTCTCCACGGACAAAGGGTTTCTATTGCACATGCAGTGTGCTTGGAGCGGAAGCTCCCTGCACACCCTGCGGACAACAGGGACCTGCTCAGGGGCATGCGTCAGCCTGGGTCTCCCCCTGCAATCCCCTTCTCCAGCAGGGAACAGACCCACTACAGCTGCAGAAGCAAGGAGCAGCAAGGCAGGATCTGTCCTGCCACCCGACCTGCAGCACCCACTGGTATGGCAGGGCCTGGGACACTGCTGTCCCCAGGCAGTAGCTCCATGCCAACCTGCACAGAGACATCAGTGTCCAGCCTGGCTCCAAGCACGGCCCCTAGGGCTGCCGGAAGATACAGGCAGCTGGTGCCCACGAGGCCTGAGCAGATCCAGGCAGGAGCAGGGGTACACCAGGAGGCAGCAGGAGAGCCTGACACGGGCACTGGCTGAAGGCACCTGGGGAGGCAGCAAGCTCTGCTCCACCACCCCAGCAGTGCCAGCAAGCCAGGGCTTGCACCCGTGGTGCGTCCATGCCAAGTACCCCATGCAATAGGATGTTCCACGGACCATCTCCATCCCTGCCTCCAGCAAAAGCATCCACTGAGTGTGGCCTGGGGGGTGCAGTCGGTGGCCCGCTCTCCATCTCATTCCTTAAGGGGATTCTCTTGCTCAAGCTGCTCCTGGGCTGTGCACATCCCTTCCCAGACTGCGGTTTCTCAGCTAAGACATTGTCCTTTGCTTCCTTCAGGCTCCTCAGCAGGCTTCACGATGCCAAGCAGCCCAAGGGCAGAGAAGAGCAGCAACAGGATCAGGTAACGCCACCCCCCTCCACCTGCCCCAAGGACAGCTATTTTGGGAAAGCTGATGTGCCAGTGAGCTGAGCTGCACAGGGATAAGGGGGATGCTGGCTCTCCCAGCCTGGGGGCTGCACACCCTCCTCACCCAGCTGGGTCCACAGGCAGCCACATGGACAAGAGGGAGGAACATGGATGCTGCTGCTATTTGCACTTCGCTCATGTGCTGGACACACGGCTTCACAAAGTGTCATCTTCTATCTGAGCCCAAGGTTACTCACATTCAGGCAGGAACTCTGCCTCAGGACCCCTGAGCCTTGGGTGATCCTGCCTGTGTGTCCACGCAACCTGCAGTGCAGCCCCAATTTTACAGGTTTGTTTTCCTGCATGTTATTCACTGCCTGGGAGAAGCTCTAGTTATCAGGAGAGGGGTGGAAGCAGCTTTGGCTGAATTTCCCCATTTTCCACTCAGAATGGTGAAGGGAAATATTTTCTTTTGCCCACACTGCAAATTCCCCAAAGCAGGGAGCAGGGAGAAGCAAAGAGGTTTTGGAGGCAGGCAGGAGGATGAGGCTGCTGAGCTTCCCAGGGACCATTTGGCTCCTGCTAAACTCCAGGAAAGCCCAGGCTGCAAAGGGCATGAATCCCTCCCTGCCCACTCCCAGCAGCCACGATGACCAGAGGTACACCAAATTTGGATTAAAAATATTCCCAGGGTAAAGACTCCCTCTCCAGCCCCAGGAAACTCCCCACCACTAACACTAATGTTTCACGCTTGCTGTTGAAGCTTTGCTCCCTCTGCCTGCCTGGGTTTGATGGCCGGCCCTCAGCCACGGCTACGCTCCTGCCCCGTCAGCTGAGGAACCTCTGCTTCATGTCTTCTCCGCAGGTATTTACAGGGCCTCGCTCCACAGCCCGTTCCCACATGCTGATCACAACCCAGGCTTTTCCCCAATGCACCTCCAGCTTGCTCAAGGCCTGTGCATGGTGGGAGCTCTGGCAAGCACCACCAGGACCCCTGATGCTGGGAACAGGGCTGTGCAAGCAGGACCCCCCGCCCAAGGGAGACACATCTCTGCCATGTCACACGCTGGGGTCTGCAGCCCGGCCAGGGATCAAGGCCACAGCTCTCCATCCACTCCTCCAGACCGGGGAGGTCTCTCTGCCGGCTTGTTTTAATTTGGTTAACAACGCCTTTGTGCTGCTAGTACCATAATTAGGGGATTAGGCTGTTGCAAGTCACTGTTGTCCAAACTCAAAACACTCCAACCCAGATGCAATTGAGGACAGGGTCTAAAACCCACACAGAACAGACAATCTCTTAATTAACACAATTACTATCACCTGCCACAGCACTGGCCTGATTAAGGTATTTGTGTGGGAGTGGTTAAACAGCAAGGTGTGTTTCCCCTGCGGCAGGGGCCAGGGGATGCCACCTGCACCCCCAGGCTGGGTGACACACGGGCACTGCACAGACCCATCGACCCTCCGGCTTGGCCTTCCTGATGACCTCCCTTCTCCCGCCCCAGCTCCCAGCGGTACAGGCAGGACCACCGAGGTGGGTGTCCG